CCTCTGTGCTATTTCCATTATTTGCACAACTTGGGCTTTACTTTCTGCAATCCAAGTTGTATTATCAGCGAATGCTATTGCTGCTTGTATAAGATAGCTTATTTTTGAGTATAAATTTTTTTAAAATATAAGTAATTCACTAAAAATAAAATATAACATGTATAAAGTTGTTGTAATTTGCCAAAATACAAGTTACTCTTATTATAGTGAAGTCCTCAAGCTAAGAAAAAAAATTTTCATTATAGCTTATATCAAGAGAATAATATATAAACTTCACTATATTGAGTTGAAGTTTAATAATTCCGGAATCCAAAATTCTTCACTATATCAAATCTTAACTACAACAAGAGTTTACTATAATAAGAGTGACTTGTAGTCAATTATAACCTATTTTAAAATTAACATCAATTCACTAAAACTCAACTTTGAACCTTTGCCCAAATTTTTGACAATTCGCTAAAAAAAAAATATAACATATATCAGAGATGTCTGGGTCCTGTTAATACTATCTTATACAGTATATTACACCAAGAATTTACTTGCACAACCTTTTTATATTAAAACCTTCTGTGACGCTACTATCATACATAGTGCCAACTCTCTACAATAAATTTTTTTTCAGAAATTTCTATTTTAAACTAGTACTTCATTTAAATTTTCTATAATAAGTATATTTAAATATTTCTAGAAACTATTTCTAGTAAACTTGAATCTGAAATTCACTTATAAAGAATTGGGTATCTAAATTACTAAATTATAGAATCCCAATTCCAGATAAGTTAGTTTGTAGAAGTTATTGTAAATAATTTTATACAGAACTTACTTGCTATTTTAGTAACTATAATATGTAGTTAAAATTAAATTAGTTTGTATTAAATAATTTTTTATTATAAATTATAATAAAAAAATTCCATTACAAAACTTACTTGCTATTCTAGTACTATAATATATAGTTAAGTTTTGTTATAATTTTCTATTTTAGAACTTGCTATTCTGGTAACTACAATAAGTATTTAAGATAAGGCAGTTTGCATTTAAATTAATTAATATGTAGTTAAGTTGAGTTAATTTGTATTGGAAAATGGTATAATTTTTATCACAAATATTACTGTAAAAGTTCTGTTATGGAATTTATTATTTTAGTGATTTTTATTATTAATACTGTAAAAAAACGAAAAGTTGCATCAATATTTTCTAAGATATGGCGGACTAATCTTTTATTAAATCCATTGGTAGTTTATATAATTCATCATATCAATATTATTAGTTATTAACTATTAACAAGTATTAATATCTTCTTTTACTTTCTCCTTCTCTATTCTTTTTTTTTTGCTTGCGTGGACCTATTATACAAAAATATACAATATGTTAATAATATATTAATAAAAAAGAAAATGGGTTACCCTTCCATCCATATATATATGTATATGATGTTTCGGGGAAATTATAAGAGATTGTTAAAAGGTTTTACGTTCGTCTCCACGATCGCGGTCACGGTCGTCGCGATTATAATCGCGATCATGATAACCTCGGTCATAATTTCGATCATAATCACGAATATATGATTCGCTTCTATCATAATGTGTTATACGAGATGACGTAGATGACGTGCTCATACGAAAATCTTTCTCACTATATGGAGATCCAATATTGTAATTATTACTGCTTCTTCTATCACTAGATGGGGAACTGGTATTATAAAAGCTACCACTAGCTCTCCTATCACTAGGTGAAGAACCGCTACTATAAAAACCACTAGCTCTTTTGTCATTAGGTGAAGAACCACCACTAAACCTTCTCTCACTATAGTCATCAAATCGAGTATGAGTCGAACTCGTTACTGGTTCATATAAAGAAAAAGAAATTTTTTTGTTCGAAGAAGTACATTTTCAAAATCAAATTGAAAGATCAAAGGAATGATTTAAACGTACCGCGAACTTCTTCTCTTGTCTCACGTTCCTTTGGTTCCTTTGGTAAGGAATGCATAATGAAGCGCGCAGCAGCAAAACGGTCGAGCATCATTGAAGGTTGTGGTGGATTGATCGTATGTTCAACTCTATTATGACTCTCTTGAACACGTTTCTTTTAATATCAAAAAGACAGAATGGTTAATTTTATCAAGCACGCTATCAGCACGACTATAAAAATATTACACACTTCCTGTTCAAGGACCTCTTTAGCCTCGGGCTCGCCATTGACCTCCAAATATACTATCAATGACGTATTAGTTATTAGTAGTGCGCATATAAGTACTTTAATCGTAACTACCCTACTTCCAATAAAATGGGTCCGATCACGTTCTAAACTTACAGGAAGTAAGTTTATTGCAACAGTATGCATATAATAAGTATAGCCTTGCACGCTCTGTTGGTGGAAATCTTGTTGCAATCTCGCTCAAGGGTTGCGCAAGTAGAGTGTCAAATACAGTCTCAATCCTACTGAAATCTGCCTCCAACTCTGAAATAAGATTATTCTCTTTAACGCTGCTTAATAACACGCTGTTACCACTACCCCCAGCCCAATTTTGTTCATTGTTACTGCTGCTCGACATGTTCAAACTATCTATCTATCTAATACAAGTAAATAGGACAAATTCTTAATTGGTAATGGGCAATGAAATCTTGTTCCTGATTGGTTGAAATAGATTACATCAGACTTTCATATGATATTTATGTCAATTTACACGTGATGTATATATGCCGTACGTCGGAACGAAATCATTGTAGATTTAGATTACGCACCTAGTATCGCCACCAAAATCAGGCACACGTTTAAATTTCAATCTGAGCAAGAGAACTTGTTTATTATTATTTATTCGTTTATATTATTATCAGAATTTAAGAATTTACTTAATTCGATTCGAATATTTAAAATAGATTTATATCCCAAATTCAATTTTTTTTATAAAGCTTTAAATTTGAGCTCAATGCTACCAATAAAAGGTGTTTTTATTACGTCCACTCCAAGTTTTTGATGCTTCTTTGCTCGTTCGAAATATTCAATGTCATCTACCATTTTTTGAATAGGTTTAAAGTTCGATTCAATGCTTCGAAGCCATTTTTTGCTTGGTATATTTTTCAAGATAATCAAGCGTCTAAAACATAAAATTAATAAAAAAAGTTTATGTAAATACGAAAATATGATAATAAAAAATTAATTTTATACCTCATGAAGTGTTTTTTTATATTTTCTTAAAATTTCAGATTCGGATTCACTATCTTCAGTACTCGACTCCTCATTATGTATATTTGGTTTTCTGTATTTACAAGATCAATCATTATATTAAAAATAATATTAGATTTAGTTTTTTTTAAATATATATATATGAGTGTCGCCAAAAGAAAACCCGACAATTTAAATATAGCCTATATTTAAATTGTCGGGTTTTCTTTTGGCGACACTCATATATAATAACATCCATCTTCCCAAGAGGATTTTTATAATAATGGTTCCTTTGCAGTTATAATGTTCAATTCGTGGTTCACTATTGCGTTGTTTACTTTTATCATTTTTTTTCATCCTTTTTTCAAGCTCACGGCGACAATTGCACCCAATAGGTAAACGAAGTAGTCTTGATTTGTTGCTATGATATTTTTTATGGTAAACATACAAATAACCATCTCCCTTTT